GAATACACGATTTGATATATACACCCACATACATACATACTTACAACTTATTACACCAGTCAACTCACTGTCCGAGCACCCTTCGTCTGATACCACTCTTTCTCGACCAATTATCACTCATGCTTATAACCACCGGTCTTCTCCAGACCCTAGCAGGCCACCTGTTGCCTAATTGTTTGTACGTGCTGAAGGCTGTTAAGACAGTTGACTTGCTCGGCCCGGGAGCCCCTGCATCGCCTCCAAGTCTGGAGGGTCCTGCCGAGCTGTACCGAGCCGGACCCTTGGCCCGAGAGCCTTTGGGGCGACAAGAGAGAGGGAGTTGCGGCTGCACAAAAGACAGAGACCAGTCGCATCACGACTGTGACGGTTGCCTCAAGAGGGTGAAAAGTCGAAACTAGCACTGAGTTCACCATGCCAGCAGACTCTTCTCCTGCCTTTGTGGACCCTTTACTACGTTCCTTCAAGCGCGCATCTGCCCGTTCATCGACTTGAGCTTATAGCCTTTACATGAGTCGATGAACATGTATGCTGGAAGCAGACGGGTGGGGAGGATGCGCGCCAGGCCTGGCATCTGAAGAGAATGCCGGTTGGCCGGAGTTGTCCGGCCGAAATGGCGCCACAAAAGTCTGGACAGCAACATCATACCGGGTTTGCCAATTGGAATGCTGCACTTTAACTTCGATGACGACTGTTTCAGTGAAGCCTTTAAGGCGCTCTTCACGACTGCATCGTCAGATTTGCCATATCTGCCATGCATTTGCGTGGACAGGTCACTAAGCGCCGGAGACCAAACGTTGCGCCTATAAATAATGATAGCTGACAATACGTTTGTTTCGGATAATTAGTCAATTTATATGGCAAAATGTAGCCAAGTTAAAATACATATGCTTGTTTATATTTGAGCCGGCCTAAACAGACGTTCTGGCTGTCAAAATCACCACCAGAGGGTCACATAGATTGGGCGGGTCTGTCCTTCAAGACAGGACGAACTAATCAGAGTTCAATTAACCCCAGGCCTCGTAAGGTGATGCGGAATTGAGAGTTGAATTTTCCCACAATCAAATATGTAGGCTTTATGTTTCCACTCAATTTCACTTGGCCTTGCTTCCCGAAAGGTATTATCACCAAAGATGGACTGCAGTTTTGACCCCGTCCGGGTCTTATCAGCATCCCCGGCGGATCTCGATACAACGCAGTGTAGGGGATAATCTCGACACGTCACCACTACGTCACACTGTCCCTGAATAACAAGAAGAACGTGGGATTGTATTTTTCCATTCCACTCGAACATGCTACTTATATTAAGAGAAAGTAGGCTCTCCAGACTATTAGTGCATGCCGTGATGGTAGCGCGTATTATCTGGGTTCGATTCCCGTTGGGTGGGAAGATGAGACTTAGGCGAGTTCGAACACGAATGATAATACCTTTTGAGAAACAAGAACAATTTATTGTGGGAAAATGAAATTAGCAGTACTAGAGTGACAGGAACTCTTATTCAAGTTTCGCTGATAGTTTTCAAACCCAATTTAGACGAATATTAGGCAAGCTAATGTTAGCTCACTCCCATGAGGGGTATCTGCATCGATAGACCATCGAATAACTCAATTATTTCAAGGACTTGATTCAAAAAGAGTTGTCAAGGTTTTGGAGTGATACGGTATCGTCTAAACCGGTCGACAGATAATGACACAGTCTTTTTGCCTATTATAATTCGCATCGAGACTGGCCCCAAAATAGGCTTGAAAACTGCCT